TTTGTATATGTCATGCGATGAAGAAACAATCTGTTGCAGTTACCTGGAGAGAAAAGTCTAACAATAAATCAATAAATAAAAGTAGGGCTACGAGCCAGTTACAATATAAAGAATATTTAATAATCATACGAACGATTCGACGCCGATCGGGTCATTTTCAATGTAAACACAAACAATATTACATAAATTGTCAAAATATTCGGTCAAATTATAATATCCAGTAAAACACGTCGGTTATTTCCGTATTCCCTATTATTAGATATGTGCGATCCATATGTAAAAACATCTCTTGACCGATATGTAAAAGTGATCTCATCTCACTTTTCAAAAATCTATAATCTTGTCGTAATGATGTGAGTCAGACGTCGAGAGACGATATCGCCTGACATCGTCGAGGATACATGTGTTCTCTCCAATATATCGTATCATGGCTTACCTTTTATTATATACGACTTAGTTAATTTTGCGTTTTTCTCTCGGCGTCTGACTCACATCATTACGACAAGATTATAGATTTTTGAAAAGTGAGATGAGATCACTTTTACATATCAGTCAAGTGATGTTTTTACAAATGGACCGCACATATCTAATAATACGGAAATAACCGACGTTTTACTGGATATTATAATGATTCTTCACGAAAAGCACGCATGCTTAGCGCTTTTTTTACCTTTTTTTAAAAAGGTAAGTTTGTATAAATAACAAGAAAGTACCATTTGTGTTTTACTTTTTAATAAAACTTATTATTAAAAATTTTATAGGATTCAACTTTGCGCCAGTTGCTGATATCAAATCTTTTATACTAATTCATAAAATTTTATGGAATTTAACTTGGCGCCAGTTGTAATAGTACCACTTGGATTTTATTTTTTAATTGTAGGTATATCATTGGAATTAAGTAAATAAATGTACTAGTTTAACTTGGCGCCTGTTGTTGATATCAAATCTTTTATACACATGATACATATCATTAGTTTATTTAGGTTTTATAATTTGACCGAATATTTCGACAATTTATGTAATATTATTTGTGTTTACATTGAAAATGACCCGATCGGCGTCGAAACGTTTGTATGATTATTAAATATTCTTTATATTGTAACTGGCTCGTAGCCCTACTTTTATTTATTGATTTATTCTGATTGAGCCATATTAATAATTTATTCTAACAATAAAATATAAAAACAGATCTATAAAATATGCGAGAGAAATGATAATAGAGCGATGAAATCAAACTAATCTAAACGTTAGGATTGATGGTAATTGTCGACATTTTATAATTCTCCCGCAATTTCTACAGGCATCTACATATGTATAACACCATATAGGAATGTCGACGCACGCTATTCAAGTATATATAGTTTTAAAAAAGCCGCTTTTTTCAAATTGCTGGAAAAAAAATCGGAAAAATTTCGGTTTTTTTCTGAAAAATTGGTTTTTTTGGAAAAATTTCTGTTTTTGCTATGTAAAAGACATAATAAGTAACTTCTAAATTTCTTTATAAAATTAATACGATCTATGAAATTATGTAGCATTATTTTTATTAAAATTTTTTA